TCTGAGAAGCTGTAGATCTGTTCTATGGGCGCTATTTCTATGCTTCCCGTGCTCAAGTTTAATTCTTGCGTCTTTTACTTTAGTTTTTGTATACCAGCTTCAAACAGCTGAAAATACAATATTTCTGGGTATTGAAAATATATTTCACAGTGGGGAAACACATTGCCTTTACCGTGAATGCAGTCTCCGTGAACATGGGAACATTGCCTTTAGATTTCAATTGTGCTGTAGCGCTGAACTTCTGCGATGCATTTTGTAACCTCCCAGTTCTTTCCTCCGAAGGTTACTAGAAAGAAAGATAAAATAACTGACCATCCACAATACTGACCCTCCTAGAAGGTACAACTTGCCACAGCACCCAAAATAACTGACCATCCACAATACTGACCCTCCTAGAAGGTACAACTTGCCACAGCACCCAAAATAACTGACCATCCACAATACTGACCCTCCTAGAAGGTAAACTTGCCACAGCACCCAAAATAACTGACCATCCACAATACTGACCCTCCTAGAAGGTAAACTTGCCACAGCACCCAAAATAACTGACCATCCACAATACTGACCCTCCTAGAAGGTAAACTTGCCACAGCACCCTAAATAACTGACCCTCCTGGATCATCCTAGAAGGTACAACTTGCCACAGCACCCTAAATAACTGACCCTCCTGGATCATCCTAGAAGGTACAACTTGCCACAGCACCCTAAATAACTGACCATCCATTTTATTTATTTTTTACATTTTAGTCATTTAGCAGACGCTCTTATCCAGAGCGACTTACAGTTAGTGAATACATGTTTTTATTTTTTACATCCCTGCTGGCCATTCCCTCCCCTACCCTGGACGACACTAGGCCAATTGTGCGCCGCCCCATGAGTGATGATCCACACAGTGACTATGTGTGTATTTGTTCACAGAAACATGAATGGAGCCAGCACATGGGGACTTGCAAGATGATGTGATCCAGTCCAGACTAACAGACGGGCTCAAAGCATGTCAATCTCTCCTGGTTTAAAGTGGAGGAGAGAGCTGTCTGTTTGAACTACTGGCACACAACTCGGACACCCATGCATACCCCACAAGACATGCCACCAGAGGTCTCTTCACGGTCCCCAAGTCCAGGACAGACTACGGGGAGGCGCACAGTACTACATAGAACCATGACTACATGGAACTCTATTCCACAAATAACTCATGCAAGCAGTAAAATTAGATTTAAAAAAACAGATACCAATACACCTTATGGAACAGCGGGGACTGTGAAGCAACACAAACATAGACACATGCTTACAAACACACGATAACATTCGTTATAGATCTGTGGTAGTAGAGTAGGGGCCTGAGGGCACACACTTAATATGTTGTGAAATCTGTTATGAATGTGTTGTAATGTTTTTAAAAATGTATAACTGCCTTGATTTTGCTGGACCCCAGGAAGAGGATCCGTAATAAATACAAAATACAAGCAAACCGGCCATAATGTCAACCTGTGCATGAAAGGAAGCCAAGCTGGACAAGTAGCTCATGCTAACGTTTCAGCATAATAAAGGCTATTTTTTTCATAATAACCTGCAACCGGATTATTTCGTAATAACGTAATATTTCTCGTTATAATGTTATCTTTCTCATAATAAGGAGATAATGGATTATTTCGTTAAAACAAGATATTGAATTATTTCATAATAACATGATCTTATCTCGTAATAATGATATTAAAAAAATATGTTTTAAGTGGCAGCAATACGCCACTGTTCGCTGTTCTGGCACCCCAATGGTGGAACAAGCTCCCCCACGACGCCAGGACAGCGGAGTCACTCACCACCTTCCGGAGACACTTGAAACCCCACCTCTTTAAGGAATACCTGGGATAGGATAAAGTAATCCTTCTACCCCCCCCTTACTCCAACCCCCCCCCCAAAAAAAACATTGTAAAGTGGTTATCCCACTGGCTATAAGGTGAATGCACCAATTTGTAAGTCGCTCTGGATAAGAGCGTCTGCTAAATGACGTCAATGGAGTAACCGCAACAGAAAAACAAGGAAAAAGTTTGATAAGCTTGAAAGCTTTGGCAATAGAGCTCGGGAAGCTTGAAATAAGTTACCTCTGGTTAGTTCAGCCATCCCTATGGGAAACATTGATGGGTAAAGAACCTCGAAAATAAGGTTTGAGGTCAACAGGTTTAGGAGAGTTTATATGTTTTGCTCTATGAGATAATAGCAGTCAGTTAACATGACCTTTTATGAATTATGAAGCCTTCATGCGATTTATGTGTTTTTTTATTATTACATAAATTCTTCAAAATTCACAAAAAGTGAGGTTAGCTGATGAAGATTTTCTCATAGAACAAAATGTTTAAGTTATCCTAAACCCGAGTTTAGTACAGAACTTATTTTCGGCGTTTATCCTTACAAAAAACGCCATTCATTTTCCTCATAGGCTTTGTCCAACGAACCCGTAGCGGAGTTAGTGCATACAAAAAAAGGACACCATGACTATGTTTTTATATTTTTTTATTGAATCAAATATAACAGACAGAAATCATTGCGTTCAAGAATTAACAAGAACCTAAAAGACAAACTAAAACTAAAACAGAGAAATTAAAGTTTTGAGTTTTGACAGCATAAGAAAATTAGACAATGACACTTATTCAGAAAATAATTCGTTATAATATTGGACCGTAGACAAGCGTTTCTTATTATTTAGCAATTTCAGAGACTCAATTTAAAAAAACTAAAGTCTATCAAAAATCACTTTAAAGCAGGGGGTTGCCATTACTATTTCTCTCAAATAGAGACCGTGGAGCATGTATTGCTACAGTGTGGGCAGTATCAGAGGGAAAGGAGAGAGGATGAGATCTAGTATGAGGGAGAAGGGGATACAGGAAGTAAGTTAGTTTTAAAGAGTATCTCGAGTAGAACGTCATTAGCATATCATTCAAATTATATTTTTGTTATTTTTTGAAGAGAAACGGGGTTGGCGGGTAGGATTTAGTTTCTCCCATGTCTCTGGCCCCACACTACCAGTACGGTAGGTTGGCGGTTAATGGCCTTAACGTTTGGGATGCCGACCGCCGATAACCCACGACAGTAGATTAGTTTCTCCCGTCTTGCAACTCTCGGTAGGGACGAAGCCCATAACGTTGGATGCCACCCGATAAACCCCACAGAAAAGAAGAGAAGAAGACGATTTCTCTCGTCCGCTGAAAAATCGTGACGCCGCGGAAGTGCAGCTACCCAGCCAGTCATTAGAGTCTAAATCAGCTTCTCCTCTCGTTGTTGTTCCACTGTACCGGAACGAACCGGGACCACATTTTTTTCGATATTATTAATGTGCGGTCAACCATCATAAACAAGACGCTTGTGGAAAAAACGGGGAAAGGGACATATGGAGAAGGTTATCCTGACCGGTGACACATTGGACCAGCCACCAGTGGTGGTTGACAGGAACTGCAAGTGTAAACTACAGCTATAATAACGCACCAAAAGTTTTTAACTCTGCTTTTGGCGAAGTGACAAGTTCGCTAAACTAGTCGAGTTAACAAGCGGATACAGTAGATCAAACGTTAGTTCTCCTGCCTACGAAAAATGTATGAATGTATGCACTCACTACTGTAAGTCCCTCTGGATAATAGCGTCTGCTAAATGACTAAAATGTCAAATGTAATTGAACAATGTTTGGATTTTTGTTGTCAGCTAGCTTGCTAACTAAGTTAGCCTTGGTTTTCTAGCTAGGGACATACCTTTTCACTTAAGATACATCGCTGACACAGTAAAGTTAGTTACCGCTGACATTTCTGAAACAATAGTTTGAATACAAAAAGTAGGAAATTCTAGGAAGACTAGCTAGTGACCGTGATTGAAGACTGGTGTTACAACTTGCAAGAACAGGATATATCTACTATTGTCAGCTACATTGTATTTTGCTACATGTTTGCATAGATAGACTCTAATGAATCATTAGCAATGTACTTGTCTTCGCCCGTTTATATTGGCAACATACAGTAGAAGTAAAACGCAGTGTTGCTGGAGCTACTCGCCCCAAAATTACGAGGCGCTACTGTATCTAGCTAACTACCTGGGCATTGTAATCAATATAACGTGCATCCACCTGACACACACACCCACTAAGGGGCATTCATGTGTTTAAACGGAAATGGGACGCCACCAATCAGGCAGAAATGGGAGAAGTACATGTGATTTTAATTATCCTCTTTTAACATAACAACGTTACCTCCTAACAAGTCTCAGGCATGTGGCTGGGAATGACGATGAGATGGGATGGAATAGTGGTTCTGGGGTGTGTGTTGGTCTGTGGTGTGTAGTTTGCAGTGTATGTGTAGTGTGTGTACTGTGTCGTAGTGTTTGTCTGTGTGTTTTGTTGTCTGTAGTGTGTTGTTTGTGAGTTGGGTTAGTGTGGTTGTTTCGTGTTGTGTTGTCCTCTGTGTTGTGTGTTGCGTTGTATGCTGTTAATGTTTGTGTGTTTGGATGTGTGTTGTGTGTGTGCTTGTGTGTCTGTGTTTGTCTGTGTGTTGTGTGTGGTACATAACTTTTCATGGCTTTTGCCACATGGCTTCAGTTCTTGCCCTCTCCTCACTCCTCCCCTCATCCCCTCTCCCTCCTCCTCTCTCTCCTCCCCCCCCCCTCCTCCTCCTCTCCCTCAAGGGGGCTATGGAGATCTGCAGAGTGAGCCGTACAATAAACACACTCAGGATTGACATTTTAATGTTGAAAATCACTCGCCCATTGGTCAATCAGGAGTATTTTTTTTTGGATGCCCGAAGAAGATCGTGATACACTGTGCCGAAAAAATTTTAAAGTAGCTGTTTTCACCTTGGCACAGGGGAGGAACCAGAAACACCAGACTACTGGGATTCTATGCATTTAGGTTGTTATCAGTAAAAATTTAATTTAAATAAAACTTTCCCAATGGGGCAGGCTCAACTTACATCACCCGGGCAATAGGGCAACCCTTAATGTAAATCCTCCTCCTCAACCTGCAAAGAGGGGGCTATGGAGGATCTGCAGAGATGATCCTGTACACACTCACACCCCTGTCCCCTCTGTAGAACCCCCAGACAGTAGCGTTGGTGCATGGCCTGGTGAAGGAGGGGGCGGTTGGGGAGCTGCGGAGGTGTTTTGGCTCTAGGATGGAGTTTGGGACGGCTGGACTCAGAGCTGCCATGGGACCAGGGATCTCCTGTATGAACGACCTCACCATCATACAGACCACGCAGGTATGACCTACGACCTCACCATCATACAGACCACGCAGGTATGACCTACGACCTCACCATCATACAGACCACGCAGGTATGACCTACGACCTCACCATCATACAGACCACGCAGGTATGACCTACGACCTCACCATCATACAGACCACACAGGTATGACCTACGACCTCACCATCATACAGACCACGCAGGTATGACCTACGACCTCACCATCATACAGACCACGCAGGTATGACCTACGACCTCACCATCATACAGACCACGCAGGTATGACCTACGACCCCACCATCATACAGACCACGCAGGTATGACCTACGACCTCACCATCATACAGACCACGCAGGTATGACCTACGACCTCACCATCATACAGACCACGCAGGTATGACCTACGACCTCACCATCATACAGACCACGCAGGTATGACCTACGACCTCAACCATCATACAGACCACGCAGGTATGACCTACTACCTCACCATCATACAGACCACGCAGGTATGACCTACGACCTCACCATCATACAGACCACACAGGTATGACCTACGACCTCACCATCATACAGACCACGCAGGTATGACCTACGACCTCACCATCATACAGACCACGCAGGTATGACCTACGACCTCACCATCATACAGACCACGCAGGTATGACCTACGACCTCACCATCATACAGACCACGCAGGTATGACCTACGACCTCACCATCATACAGACCACTAGTATGACCTACGACCTCACCATCATACAGACTACACAGGTATGACTACGACCTCCCATCTACAGACCACTAGTATGACCTACGACCTCACCATCATACAGACCACACAGGTATGACCTACGACCTCACCATCATACAGACCACTAGTATGACCTACGACCTCACCATCATACAGACCACACAGGTATGACCTACGACCTCACCATCATACAGACCACGCAGGTATGACCTACGACCTCACTTCATACCGACCACACAGGTATGACCTACGACCTCACCATCATACCAACCACACGTGTGACCTACGACCTCACACAATACCAGAAAGACCTACGCCTCACCACATCAGCCCCCGTCGTAGCAACACACACACACACTGGTGCCGCATGGTCATTGGCTCCTCCTGATTATGTGGTGTCAGCACACAACAATGCTTTTAGTGTTTTACTAAACCTCTCTCTTCTCCCTCCCTCTCTCCCCCCCTCTCCTCTTCTCCTCCCCCCTCTCCCCTCTCCTCTCTCCCCCCAGGGGTTCTGTAAGTATCTGGAGCACTGTTTCGGGGAGGGTCTGAAGGAGAGGGGAGTGGTGGTAGGGTTTGATGCCCGTGCCCACCCCCCCAGTGGAGGCAGCAGTAAACATTTTGCCAGCCTGGCAGCCGCCGTGTTCACCAGCCGGGGAGTACCTGTCCACCTGTTCTGTGACATCACACCCACACCCTTCGTGGTACGCCTGTCTATATAATAACACACGCCTGTCTGTATAATAACACACGCCTGTCTGTATAATAACACACGCCTGTCTGTATAATAACACACGCCTGTCTATATAATAACACACCTGTCTATATAATAACACGCCTGTCTATATAATAACACACGCCCTGTCTATATAATAACACACGCCTGTCTATATAATAACACACGCCTGTCTATATAATAACCACGCCTGTCTATATAATAACACGCGCCTGTCTATATAATAACACGCGCCTGTCTATATAATAACACACGCCTGTCTATATAATACACACGCCTGTCTATATAATAACACGCGCCTGTCTATATAATAATAACACGCCTGTCTATATAATAACACGCGCCTGTCTATATAATAACACGCGCCTGTCTATATAATAACACGCGCCTGTCTATATAATAACACGCGCCTGTCTATATAATAACACGCGCCTGTCTATATAATAACACGCGCCTGTCTATATAATAACACGCGCCTGTCTATATAATAACACGCGCCTGTCTGTATAATAACACGCGCCTGTCTGTATAATAACACCGCCTGTCTGTATAATAACACGCGCCTGTCTGTATAATAACACGCGCCTGTCTGTATAATAACACGCGCCTGTCTGTATAATAACACGCGCCTGTCTGTATAATAACACGCGCCTGTCTATATAATAACACGCGCCTGTCTATATAATAACACGCCTGTCTATATAATAACACGCGCCCTGTCTATATAATAACACGCGCCTGTCCTATATAACAAACACGCGCCTGTCTATATAAAACACGCGCCTGTCTATATAACAACACGCGCTCTGTCTAATATAACACGCGCCTGTCTATATAAACACGCGCCTGTCTATATATAACACGCGCCTGTCTATATAACAACACGCGCCTGTCTTATACAACACGCGCCTGTCTATATAATAACACGCCTGTCTATATAATAACACGCGCCTGTCTATATAATAACACGCCTGTCTATATAATAACACGCGCCTGTCTGTATAATAACACACCTTACAGGTAGACCTACACAGTAACTCACAGGTCAGTTAGAACAGGTAGACCTACACAGTAACTCACAGGTCAGTTAGAACAGGTAGACCTACACAGTAACTCACAGGTCAGTTAGAACAGGTAGACCTACACAGTAACTCACAGGTCAGTTAGAACAGGTAGACCTACACAGTAACTCACAGGTCAGTTATATCAGGTAGACCTACACAGTAACTCACAGGTCAGTTAGAAACAGGTAGACCTACACAGTAACTCACAGGTCAGTTAGAACAGGTAGACCTACACAGTAACTCACAGGTCAGTTATAACAGGTAGACCTACACAGTAACTCACAGGTAGACCTACACAGTAACTCACCTGTAGTCTAACTAATGCAGCATAGTGGCTACATGGCTGAAACAGGGGGTTGGCACTCTGATTATCACCTGTAGTCTAACTAATGCAGCATAGTGGCTACGTGGCTGAAACACGGGGTTGGCACTCTGATTATCACCTGTAGTCTAAACTAATGCAGCATAGTGGCTACATGGCTGAAACACGGGGTTGGCACTCTGATTATCACCTGTAGTCTAACTAATGCAGCATAGTGGCTACATGGCTGAAACACGGGGTTGGCACTCTGATTATCACCTGTAGTCTAACTAATGCAGCATAGTGGCTACATGGCTGAAACACGGGGTTGGCACTCTGATTATCACCTGTAGTCTAACTAATGCAGCATAGTGGCTACGTGGCTGAAACACGGGGTTGGCACTCTGATTATCACCTGTAGTCTAACTAATGCAGCATAGTGGCTACGTGGCTGAAACACGGGGTTGGCACTCTGATTATCACCTGTAGTCTAACTAATGCAGCATAGTGGCTACATGGCTGAAACACGGGGTTGGCACTCTGATTATCACCTGTAGTCTAACTAATGCAGCATAGTGGCTACGTGGCTGAAACACGGGGGTTGGCACTCTGATTACCCCTAGTGAATGAGGTAGATCACAGACTCTAAATGTGATCTTGTTGGTTCCACTGGCACTTATTTAATGTTGATGGATAAAACCCAATATTATTATAATATTAGATCATATTTAGTTAGTCTGACCTATCTGGGACACCTACAATCATTCAAAGAAATATAAGTGTTTTTCGGTTTCAGAATCAACTTCATTTGCTATTTTGGTTAATGGCCTTGGTGCCCTGGCAGATTGCCCCCCCCCCCCCCCCCTTAAGGACAAATGCCCCTAAAACCAGGACATTCCAGGCCAGACAGACACCCTTTGTGGTATCTGTTGATGTAATGTCACAGAAGCACTCACAGGCCTAGACTTTACACTTTAACCATGTGGATTCTTAGGTAGACCTACACAGGAACTCTCTGGAAAGTTTTTGACATTGTTACTTTGCTGTTTGCAGGGTACAAAAAAACAGACACACACACACACATACAATGGGGAGAACAAGTATTTGATACACTGTCGATTTTGCAGGTTTTCCTACTTACAAAGCATGTAGAGGTCTGTAATTTTTATCAGAGGTACACTTCAACTGTGAGAGACGGAATCTAAAACAAAAATCCAGAAAATCACATTGTATGATTTTTAAGTAATTAATTTGCATTTTATTGCATGACATAAGTATTTGATACATCAGAAAAGCAGAACTTAATATTTGGTACAGAAACCTTTGTTTGCAATTACAGAGATCATACGTTTCCTGTAGGTCTTGACCAGGTTTGCACACACTGCAGCAGGGATTTTGGCCCACTCCTCCATACAGACCTTCTCCAGATCCTTCAGGTTTCGGGGCTGTCGCTGGGCAATACGGACTTTCAGCTCCCTCCAAAGATTTTCTATTGGGTTCAGGTCTGGAGACTGGCTAGGCCACTCCAGGACCTTGAGATGCTTCTTACGGAGCCACTCCTTAGTTGCTGTGTGTTTTGGGTCGTTGTCATGCTGGAAGACCCAGCCACGACCCATCTTCAATGGTCTTACTGAGGGAAGGAGGTTGTTGGCCAAGATCTTGCGATACATGGCCCCATCCATCCTCCCCTCAATACGGTGCAGTCGTCCTGTCCCCTTTGCAGAAAAGCATCCCCAAAGAATGATGTTTCCACCTCCATGCTTCACGGTTGGGATGGTGTTCTTGGGGTTGTACTCATCCTTCTTCTTCCTCCAAACACGGCGAGTGGAGTTTAGACCAAAAATCTCTATTTTTGTCTCATCAGACCACATGACCTTCTCACATTCCTCCTCTGGGTCATCCAGATGGTCATTGGCAAACTTCAGACGGGCCTGGACATGCGCTGGCTTGAGCAGGGGGACCTTGCGTGTGCTGCAGGATTTTAATCCATGACGGCATAGTGTGTTACTAATGGTTTTCTTTGAGACTGTGGTCCCAGCTCTCTTCAGGTCATTGACCAGGTCCTGCCGTGTAGTTCTGAGCTGATCCCTCACCCTCCTCATGATCATTGATGCCCCACGAGGTGAGATCTTGCATGGAGCCCCAGACCGAGGGTGATTGACCGTCATCTTGAACTTCTTCCATTTTCTAATAATTGCGCCAACAGTTGTTGCCTTCTCACCAAGCTGCTTGCCTATTGTCCTGTAGCCCATCCCAGCCTTGTGCCGGTCTACAATTGTATCCCTGATGTCCTTACACAGCTCTCTGGTCTTGGCCATTGTGGAGAGGTTGGAGTCTGTTTGATTGAGTGTGTGGACGGGTGTCGTTTTATACAGGTAACGAGTTCAAACAGGTGCAGTTAATACAGGTAATGAGTGGAGAACAGGAGGGCTTCTTAAAGAAAAACTAACAGGTCTGTAAGAGCCGGAATTCTTACTGGTTGGTAGGTGATCAAATACTTATGTCATGCAATAAAATGCTAATGTATTACTACACTAACTGTAAGTCGCTCTGGATAAGAGCGTCTGCTAAAATGACTAAAATGTAAAAATGTTCATGTTAATAACAGTATTTCCCTCTCCAGCCCTTCACTGTATCTCATCTGGGTCTTTGTGCTGGTATCATGGTAACCGCCTCCCACAACCCCAAACAGGACAACGGATACAAGGTAACGTTCATTACTTTATTGATTAACCTATTGATTGATTATTTCAGTGTTTCTTTTCAGGTCTTGGGCGTATTGATCTGTTTCTGTTGGATCCGTTTCTAGGTGTATTAGACCAGTGTAAAGTAGTCTCTCTCTCTCTCTCGCTCCCCCCCCCCCCCCCCCCTGTCTCCCAGGTGTATTGGGAGAACGGTGCCCAGATCGTGCCGCCCCATGATAAGGGTATCTCTGTAGCCATCGAGGCTAACCTGGAGCCCTGGCCTGAGTCCTGGGACACATCATCTCTCTCTCACAGCCCTCTGCTGAAGGACCCTTACCAAGACATTCACACTGAGTACTACCGGACCATCCAGCAACACTGTCACCACAGGTACTCCACCCCCCCCCCCCCCACACCCCCTAACCCCCATCTCCCCCACTCCCTCTTCTAACCCCCATCTCCCGTCCTTTTCAGGGACATCAACAAGAGTTCGGAGGTGAATATCGTGCACACCTCCGTGCATGGAGTAGGGCACACCTTCGTCCAATCAGCTTTCAAGGCCTTTGACCTACGACCCCCGTACGCTGTGGAGGAACAGAAAGACCCTGACCCCGAGTTCCCCACCGTCCAATACCCCAACCCCGAGGAGGGGGAGGGGGTCCTGGTACACAACCACCGTCCAATACCCCGACCCTGAGGAGGGGGAGGGAGTCCTGGTACACAACCACCGTCCAATACCCCGACCCTGAGGAGGGGGTCCTGGTCAATAATATGAACCATGTAATACTAGTCTAGAACTAGTCTCAATCCTAGACAACATGGTGTAATAATGGGACATGCCAACCCCTCCCTCCCTCCCTCCAACAGTCTAGAACTAGTCCCAATCCTAGACAACATGGTGTAATAATGGGACATGCCAACCCCTCCCTCCCTCCCTCCAACAGTCTAGAACTAGTCTCAATCCTAGACAACATGGTGTAATAATGGGACATGCCAACCCCTCCCTCCCTCCCTCCAACAGTCTAGAACTAGTCCCAATCCTAGACAAACATGGTGTAATAATGGGACATGCCAACCCCTCCCTCCCTCCCTCCAACAGTCTAGAACTAGTCCCAATCCTAGACAACATGGTGTAATAATGGGACATGCCAACCCCTCCCTCCCTCCCTCCAACAGTCTAGAACTAGTCCCAATCCTAGACAACATGGTGTAATAATGGGACATGCCAACCCCTCCCTCCCTCCCTCCAACAGTCTAGAACTAGTCCCAATCCTAGACAACATGGTGTAATAATGGGACATGCCAACCCCTCCCTCCCTCCAACAGTCTAGAACTAGTCCCAATCCTAGACAACATGGTGTAATAATGGGACATGCCAACCCCTCCCTCCCCCTCCAACAGTCTAGAACTAGTCTCAATCCTAGACAACATGGTGTAATAATGGGACATGCCAACCCCTCCCCCTCCCTCCAACAGTCTAGAACTAGTCTCAATCCTAGACAACATGGTGTAATAATGGGACATGCCAACCCCTCCCCTCCCTCCAACAGTCTAGAACTAGTCCCAATCCTAGACAACATGGTGTAATAATGGGACATGCCAACCCCTCCCTCCCTCCCTCCCTCCAACAGTCTAGAACTAGTCCCAATCCTAGACAACATGGTGTAATAATGGGACATGCCAACCCCTCCCTCCCTCCAACAGTCTAGAACTAGTCCCAATCCTAGACAACATGGTGTAATAATGGGACATGCCAACCCCTCCCTCCCTCCCTCCAACAGTCTAGAACTAGTCTCAATCCTAGACAACATGGTGTAATAATGGGACATGCCAACCCCTCCCTCCCTCCCTCCAACAGTCTAGAACTAGTCTCAATCCTAGACAACATGGTGTAATAATGGGACATGCCAACCCCTCCCTCCCTCCCTCCAACAGTCTAGAACTAGTCCCAATCCTAGACAACATGGTGTAATAATGGGACATGCCAACCCCTCCTCCCTCCAACAGTCTAGAACTAGTCTCAATCCTGGACAACATGGTGTAATAATTGGGACATGCCAACCCCTCCCCCCCCCTCCCTCCAACAGTCTAGAACTAGTCCCAATCCTAGACAACATGGTGTAATAATGGGACATGCCAACCCCCTCCCTCCCTCCCTCCAACAGTCTAGAACTAGTCTCAATCCTAGACAACATGGTGTAATAATGGGACATGCCAACCCCTCCCTCCCTCCCTCCAACAGTCTAGAACTAGTCCCAATCCTAGACAACATGGTGTAATAATGGGACATGCCAACCCCCCCCCTCCCTCCCTCCAACAGTCTAGAACTAGTCCCAATCCTAGACAACATGGTGTAATAATGGGACATGCCAACCCCCCTCCCTCCCTCCCTCCAACAGTCTAGAACTAGTCTCAATCCTAGACAACATGGTGTAATAATGGGACATGCCAACCCCCTCCCTCCCTCCCTCCAACAGTCTAGAACTAGTCTCAATCCTAGACAACATGGTGTAATAATGGGACATGCCAACCCCTCCCTCCCTCCCTCCAACAGTCTAGAACTAGTCTCAATCCTAGACAACATGGTGTAATAATGGGACATGCCAACCCCTCCCTCCCTCCCTCCAACAGTCTAGAACTAGTCTCAATCCTAGACAACATGGTGTAATAATGGGACATGCCAACCCCTCCCTCCCTCCCTCCAACAGTCTAGAACTAGTCCCAATCCTAGACAACATGGTGTAATAATGGGACATGCCAACCCCTCCCTCCCTCCCTCCAACAGTCTAGAACTAGTCTCAATCCTAGACAACATGGTGTAATAATGGGACATGCCAACCCCTCCCTCCCTCCAACAGTCTAGAACTAGTCCCAATCCTAGACAACATGGTGTAATAATGGGACATGCCAACCCCTCCCTCCCTCCAACAGTCTAGAACTAGTCTCAATCCTAGACAACATGGTGTAATAATGGGACATGCCAACCCCTCCCTCCCTCCCTCCAACAGTCTAGAACTAGTCCTCAATCCTAGACAACATGGTGTAATAATGGGACATGCCAACCCCTCCCTCCCTCCCCCTCCAACAGTCTAGAACTAGTCTCAATCCTAGACAACATGGTGTAATAATGGGACATGCCAACCCCTCCCTCCCTCCAACAGTCTAGAACTAGTCTCAATCCTAGACAACATGGTGTAATAATGGGACATGCCAACCCCTCCCTCCCTCCAACAGTCTAGAACTAGTCCCAATCCTAGACAACATGGTGTAATAATGGGACATGCCAACCCCTCCCTCCCTCCCTCCAACAGTCTAGAACTAGTCTCAATCCTAGACAACATGGTGTAATAATGGGACATGCCAACCCCTCCCTCCCTCCCCTCCAACAGTCTAGAACTAGTCCCAATCCTAGACAACATGGTGTAATAATGGGACATGCCAACCCCTCCCTCCCTCCCTCCAACAGTCTAGAACTAGTCCCAATCCTAGACAACATGGTGTAATAATGGGACATGCCAACCCCCTCCCCCTCCAACAGTCTAGAACTAGTCTCAATCCTAGACAACATGGTGTAATAATGGGACATGCCAACCCCTCCCTCCCTCCCTCCCTCCAACAGTCTAGAACTAGTCCCAATCCTAGACAACATGGTGTAATAATGGGACATGCCAACCCCTCCCTCCCTCCCTCCAACAGTCTAGAACTAGTCCCAATCCTAGACAACATGGTGTAATAATGGGACATGCCAACCCCTCCCTCCCTCCCTCCAACAGTCTAGAACTAGTCCCAATCCTAGACAACATGGTGTAATAATGGGACATGCCAACCCCTCCCTCCCTCCCTCCAACAGTCTAGAACTAGTCTCAATCCTAGACAACATGGTGTAATAATGGGACATGCCAACCCCTCCCTCCCTCCCTCCAACAGTCTAGAACTAGTCCCAATCCTAGACAACATGGTGTAATAATGGGACATGCCAACCCCTCCCTCCCTCCCTCCAACAGTCTAGAACTAGTCCCAATCCTAGACAACATGGTGTAATAATGGGACATGCCAACCCCTCCCTCCCTCCCTCCAACAGTCTAGAACTAGTCTCAATCCTAGACAACATGGTGTAATAATGGGACATGCCAACCCCTCCCTCCCTCCAACAGTCTAGAACTAGTCTCAATCCTAGACAACATGGTGTAATAATGGGACATGCCAACCCCTCCCTCCCTCCCTCCAACAGTCTAGAACTAGTCCCAATCCTAGACAACATGGTGTAATAATGGGACATGCCAACCCCTCCCTCCCTCCAACAGTCTAGAACTAGTCCCAATCCTAGACAACATGGTGTAATAATGGGACATGCCAACCCCTCCCCTCCCTCCCTCCAACAGTCTAGAACTAGTCCCAATCCTAGACAACATGGTGTAATAATGGGACATGCCAACCCCTCCCTCCCTCCAACAGTCTAGAACTAGTCTCAATCCTAGACAACATGGTGTAATAATGGGACATGCCAACCCCTCCCTCCAACAGTCTAGAACTAGTCCCAATCCTAGACAACATGGTGTAATAATGGGACATGCCAACCCCTCCCTCCCTCCCTCCAACAGTCTAGAACTAGTCCCAATCCTAGACAACATGGTGTAATAATGGGACATGCCAACCCCTCCCTCCCTCCCTCCAACAGTCTAGAACTAGTCCCAATCCTAGACAACATGGTGTAATAATGGGACATGCCAACCCCTCCCTCCCTCCCTCCAACAGTCTAGAACTAGTCCCAATCCTAGACAACATGGTGTAATAATGGGACATGCCAACCCCTCCCTCCCTCCCTCCAACAGTCTAGAACTAGTCCCAATCCTAGACAACATGGTGTAATAATGGGACATGCCAACCCCTCCCTCCCTCCAACAGTCTAGAACTAGTCCCAATCCTAGACAACATGGTGTAATAATGGGACATGCCAACCCCTCCCTCCCTCCCTCCAACAGTCTAGAACTAGTCTCAATCCTAGACAACATGGTGTAATAATGGGACATGCCAACCCCCTCCCTCCCTCCCTCCAACAGTCTAGAACTAGTCTCAATCCTAGACAACATGGTGTAATAATGGGACATGCCAACCCCTCCCTCCCTCCCTCCAACAGTCTAGAACTAGTCCCAATCCTAGACAACATGGTGTAATAATGGGACATGCCAACCCCTCCCTCCCTCCCTCCAACAGTCTAGAACTAGTCCCAATCCTAGACAACATGGTGTAATAATGGGACATGCCAACCCCTCCCTCCCTCCCTCCAACAGTCTAGAACTAGTCCCAATCCTAGACAACATGGTGTAATAATGGGACATGCCAACCCCCCTCCCTCCCTCCAACAGTCTAGAACTAGTCTCAATCCTAGACAACATGGTGTAATAATGGGACATGCCAACCCCTCCCTCCCTCCCTCCAACAGTCTAGAACTAGTCCCAATCCTAGACAACATGGTGTAATAATGGGACATGCCAACCCCTCCCCTCCCTCCAACAGTCTAGAACTAGTCCCAATCCTAGACAACATGGTGTAATAATGGGACATGCCAACCCCTCCCTCCCTCCCTCCAACAGTCTAGAACTAGTCCCAATCCTAGACAACATGGTGTAATAATGGGACATGCCAACCCCTCCCTCCCTCCCTCCAACAGTCTAGAACTAGTCTCAATCCTAGACAACATGGTGTAATAATGGGACATGCCAACCCCTCCCTCCCTCCCTCCAACAGTCTAGAACTAGTCCCAATCCTAGACAACATGGTGTAATAATGGGACATGCCAACCCCTCCCTCCCTCCCTCCAACAGTCTAGAACTAGTCCCAATCCTAGACAACATGGTGTAATAATGGGACATGCCAACCCCTCCCTCCCCTTGGTTTGAAGCCTCCTCCCCCTAGTTAGGTCAGAGACAGGGTTCAAATCATGTCTTCTTGTTTTCATTGTTCTCCCATTGTCCCACTGAAGCTAGAAGCACATCTAGTTAGTTGATTAGTATCTCTGCTTTCCAACTGTGATACCGTGTGTGTGTGTGTGTTTACGGTGTGTTTGTGTGTTTCCTGCAGACCCTGTCGTTTGCCCTGGCGGAGAGGGAGGGAGCTAGTGTAGTTCTGGCCAACGACCCTGATGCTGACCGCCTGGCCATCGCTGAGAAACAGAAGGGGTAGGGTACACGTTGTGTAGTGTTCATTGGTGATGAGTTGGGGGGGCGTTGCTGGGCTGATGGGTGTGTAACATCTCTGTCTCTGTCTCTCTCTCTGTCTCTCTCTCTCTCTCTGTGTCTCTCTGTCTCTCTCTCTCTCTCTTTCTGTCCCCCATCTCTCTCTGGCTGTGTGTGTAGTGGTCAGTGGCGTGTGTTCAGTGGTAATGAGTTGGGGGCGTTGCTGGGTTGGTGGGTGTGTAACATCTCTGTCTCTCTGTGTAGTGGTCAGTGGCGTGTGTTCAGTGGTAATGAGTTGGGGGCGTTGCTGGGTTGGTGGGTGTGTAACATGTCTCTCTCTCTCTGTGTGTGTGTAGTGGTCAGTGGCGTGTGTTCAGTGGTAATGAGTTGGGGGCGTTGCTGGGTTGGTGGGTTGTGTAACATGTCTCTCTCTCTGTGTGTGTGTAGTGGTCAGTGGCGTGTGTTCAGTGGTAATGAGTTGGGGGCGTTGCTGGGTTGGTGGGTGTGTAACATGTCTCTCTCTCTCTGTGTGTGTGTAGTGGTCAGTGGCGTGTGTTCAGTGGTAATGAGTTGGGGGCGTTGCTGGGTTGGTGGGTGTGTAACATGTCTCTCTCTCTGTGTGTGTGTAGTGGTCAGTGGCGTGTGTTCAGTGGTAATGAGTTGGGGGCGTTGCTGGGTTGGTGGGTGTGTAACATGTCTCTCTCTCTGTGTGTGTGTAGTGGTCAGTGGCGTGTGTTCAGTGGTAATGAGTTTGGGGGGCGTTGCTGGGTTGGTGGGTGTGTAACATGTCTCTCTCTCTCTGTGTGTGTGTAGTGGTCAGTGGCGTGTGTTCAGTGGTAATGAGTTGGGGGCGTTGCTGGGTTGGTGGGTGTGTAACATCTCTGTCTCTCTCTGTAGTGGTCAGTGGCGTGTGTTCAGTGGTAATGAGTTGGGGGCGTTGCTGGGTTGGTGGGTGTGTAACGTCTCTGTCTCTCTGTCTCTGTCTCTGTGTGTGTAGTGGTCAGTGGCGTGTGTTCAGTGGTAATGAGTTGGGGGCGTTGCTGGGTTGGTGGGTGTGTAACATGTCTCTCTCTCTGTGTGTGTGTGTAGTGGTCATTGGCGTGTGTTCAGTGGTAATGAGTTGGGGGCGTTGCTGGGTTGGTGGGTGTGTAACATGTCTCTCTCTCTCTGTGTGTGTGTAGTGGTCAGTGGCGTGTGTTCAGTGGTAATGAGTTGGGGGCGTTGCTGGGTTGGTGGGTGTGTAACATGTCTCTCTCTCTGTGTGTGTGTGTAGTGGTCAGTGGCGTGTGTTCAGTGGTAATGAGTTGGGGGCGTTGCTGGGTTGGTGGGTGTGTAACATCTCTGTCTCTGTCTCTGTGTGTGTAGTGGTCAGTGGCGTGTGTTCAGTGGTAATGAGTTGGGGGCGTTGCTGGGTTGGTGGGTGTGTAACGTCTCTGTCTCTCTCTCTGTGTGTGTAGTGGTCAGTGGCGTGTGTTCAGTGGTAATGAGTTGGGGGCGTTGCTGGGTTGGTGGGTGTGTAACATGTCTCTCTCTCTCTCTCTCTCTCTCCTCTCTGTCTCTCTCTGTCTCTCTCTGTCTCTGTCTCTGTGTGTGTAGTGGTCAGTGGCGTGTGTTCAGTGGTAATGAGTTGGGGGCGTTGCTGGGTTGGTGGGTGTACCAGTGTTGGAAACAGACCAACCCAGACCAGTCTACGGTGAAGTCAGTCTACATGCTGGCCTCCACCGTCTCCTCTAAGATTCTACGGGCCATCGCTCTCAAGGAGGGCTTCCACTTTGAGGTAACACACACACACACACACACACACACACAAACACACACATAGACACAGACATATAGAGTGGCTTGCGAAAGTATTCACCCCCCCACCTTGGCACTTTTCCAATGTTGTTGCCTTACAACCTGGAATCATTGGATTTTACACAACATGCCTACCACTTTGAAGATGCAAAATATGTTTTCTTGTGAAACAAACAAGAAATAAGACCAAAAAAACAGAACTTGAGCATGCATAACTATTCACCCCCCACAGTCAATACTTTGTAGAGCCACCTTTTGCAGCAATTACAGCTGCAAGTCTCTTGGGGTATGTCTCTATAAGCTTGGCACATCTAGCCACTGGGATTTTTGCCCATTCTTCAAGGCCAAACTGCTCCAGCTCCTTCAAGTTGGATGGGTTCCGCTGGTGTACAGCAATCTTTAAGTCATACATACAGATTCTCAATTGGATTGAGGTCTGGGCTTTGACTAGGCCATTCCAAGACATTTAAATGTTTCCCCTTAAACCACTAGAGGTTTGATTTAGCAGTATGCTTAGGGTCATTGTCCTGCTGGAAGGTGAACCTCCGTCCCAGTCTCAAATCTCCGGAAGACTGAAACAGGTTTCCCTCAAGAATTTCCCTGTATTTAGCGCCATCCATCATTCCTTCAATTCGGCTCAGTTTCCCAGTCCCTGCCGATGAAAAACATCCCCACAGCATGATGCTGCCACCACCATGCTTCACTGTGGGGATGGTGTTCTCGGGGTGATGAAAGGTGTTGGGTTTCAGAACAGGTGTGTGTATATATACTGAGATCATGTGACAGATCATGTGACACTTAGATTGCACACAGGTGGACTTTATTTAACTAATTATGTGACTTCTGAAGGTAATTGGTTGCACCAGATCTTAACAAGTTATTTTTTAAATTTCACTTCACCAATTTGGACTATTTTGTGTATGTCCATTACATGAAATCCAAATGAAAATCCATTTAAATTACAGGTTGTAATGCAACAAAATAGAAAAAACGCCAAGGTGGATGAATACCTTTTGCAAGGCACTGTACACACACACACACACACACATATATATATATATATATATATATATATTTCACTCACACACACTTTGAATTTAGCAACAAACCCTTAAACCCACAGACATTTCAGATCACACTCTGGCTCACGCACACATTCAATGAACAGACCTCATTGCATTCAATGAACAGACCTCATTTCATAGACCTCATTTCATTCAATGAACAGACCTCATTTCATTCAATGAACAGACCTCATTTCATTCAATGAACAGACCTCATTTCATTCAATGAACAGACCTCATTTCATTCAATGATCAGACCACATTTCATTCAATGAACAGACCTCATTTCATTCAATGAACAGACCTCATTTCATTCAATGAACAGACCTCATTTCATTCAATGATCAGACCACATTTCATTCAATGAACAGACCTCATTTCATTCAATGAACAGACCTCATTTCATTCAATGAACAGACCTCATTTCATTCAATGAACAGACCTTTTTTCATTCAATGAACAGACCTCATTTCATTCAATGAACAGACCTCATTTCATTCAATCAATGAACAGACATATCAATATTCTAAGGTATTTTTGAAGCCAAACTCAATACCACTAGCTTACATCCTTTTTATGAATGAATACATTTAATGGATGACTGATGTTGGTGATGAGGGCACTTCCTGACTATGACATCACATCCTGTGTGGACAGGAAACTCTGACGGGGTTCAAGTGGATGGGCAACCGAGCCAGAGAGCTGCTGGACCAGGACAAGATAGTACTGTTTGCTTTCGAGGAGGCTATAGGTACATACCACACCACACCATACCACACCATACCACACCACACCATATTACACCATACCACACCACACCACACCACACCACACCACACTACACTACACTGAGACATCTGTGGCAGTGTGTTGTGTAACACAACTGCAATTTTTTTTTAAAGTGGCCTTTTATTGTCCCCAGCACAAGGTGCACCTGTGTAACGATCATGCTGTTTAATCAGCTTCTTGATACGCCACACCTGTCAGGTGGATGGATTATCTTAGCAAAGGAGAAATGCTCTCTAACAAGGATGGAAACAAAATTTGTGGACAACGTTTGAAAGAAAAAATGCTTTTTTGTGCGTATGGAACATTTCGGGGATTTTTTTATTTAGGCTCACGAAACATGGGACCAACACTTTTTTTATATTTTTGTCATTTAGCAGACGCTCTTATCCAGAGCAACTTACCGTATGAGTGCATACAAAATCGATACAGTTATACAATACCAGTCAAAAGTTTGGACACACCTACTCAATCCAGGGGTTTTCTTTATTCAAAACTATGAAATAACACATATGGAATCATGTAGTAACCCCAAAAAGTGTTAAACAAATCAAAATATATATTAGATTTGAGATTCTTCAAAGTAGCCACCCCTTTGCCTTGGTGACAGCTTTGAACACTCACTCGGCATTCTCTCAACCGGCTTCATGAGGTAGTCACCTGGAATGTATTTCAATTAACAGGTGTGCCTTGTTAAAAGTTAATTTGTGGAATTATTCCATATGTGTTATTTCATAGTTTTGATGTCTTCACTATTATTCTACAATGTAGTAATGAAATTAGTTGGTGAATGAGTAGTTGTGTCCAAACTTTTGACTGGTACTGTACATAAAATGGGATAAATATTTAAAACTAAGGTTAAATATCTTGAGTGAGTTAGTATGGTTTTTAACATTGGTTAATCATGTGTCCTTCTGTTATTGTCTTAATGCATCTCATTATTCTTAAAGCTTTGCATGTGTATATATTATAATACAATATTATTTTTGGACGATATTATACCGATACTTTATCGATTTGTACATATTATTTTCGCTAGGTAGCGTTAGCTAGCGCTATTCGGCTGTACCTACGTACCAAAACTCCAGTATTGTTCATCCTATAGCTTGTTCTCCATCTTCTTTTTAAATAGCGAGCCAACATGTTTTCAGTACTTTTATTTCCATGACTGATCAAAAACCAATTTTCTCATGGCTCTCTCTTGTCTTTCTGCAGCAGACGCATACATGTAACTGCCAAAATAAAGGAAACCCCAACATGAAGTGTCTTTAATAGGGGCGTTGGGCCTCCACAAGCCAGAACAGCTTTAATGAGCCTTGGCATAGATTCTACAAGTGTCTGGAGCTCCTATTGGAGGGATGCGACGGCGTTCTTCCACGAGAAATTACATAATTTGGTGTTTTTTTGTTGACGGTGGTGGAAAGCGCTGTCTCAGGCGCCTGCTCCAGAATCTCCCAGAAGTGTTCAGTTGGGTTGAGATCTGGTGACTGAGACACACAAATACCCTTTAAACCTTTAAACTTTGTCTCCTGAGTGGCGCAGTGGTCTAAGGCACTGCATCGCAGTGCTAACTGTGTCACTAGAGATCCTGGTTCGAATCCAGGCTCTGTCGCAGCCGGCCGCGACCGGGAGACTCATGGGCGGCGCACAATTGGCCCAGCGTCGTCCAGGGTAGGGGAGGGAATGGCCGGCAGGGATGTAGCTCAGTTGATAGAGCATGGCGTTTGCAACGCCAGGGTTGTGGGTTCGATTCCCACAGGGGGCCAGTGTATAAAAAAAAAAAAAAAAAAAAAACATGTATTCACTAACTGTAAGTCGCTCTGGATAAGAGCGTCTGTTAAATGACGTAAATGTAAATGTAAACTCAGCAACCACACCTGTGTGGAAGCACCTGCTTTCAATATACTTTGTATCCTTTACTCAAGTGTTTCCTTTATTTTGGCAGTTACATGTAGGAAGCAATGTGTTTGGAATATCAAATCACAATACAATCACAGTATCGAATCACAACAATACATATAGAATCACAATACATATAGAATCACAATACGTATAGAATCACAATACGTATAGAATCACAATACATATAGAATCACAATACATATAGAATCACGATACATATAGAATCACAATACATATAGAATCACAATACATATAGAATCATGAGAATCGCAGTACATATCGTATGGTGAGGTCCCTGGTAATTCATTACATATCGTATGGTGAGGTCCCTGGTAATTCAGTACATATGGTATGGTGAGGTCCCTGGTAATTCATTACATATCGTATGGTGAGGTCCCTGGTAATTCATTACATATCGTATGGTGAGGTCCCTGGTAATTCATTACATATCGTATGGTGAGGTCCCTGGTAATTCATTACATATCGTATGGTGAGGTCCCTGGTAATTCATTACATATCGTATGGTGAGGTCCCTGGTAATTCAGTACATATCGTATGGTGAGGTCCCTGGTAATTCAGTACATATCGTATGGTGAGGTCCCTGGTAATTCAATACATATGGTATGGTGAGGTCCCTGTAATTCATACATATCGTATGGTGAGGTCCCTGGTAATTCATTACATATCGTATGGTGAGGTCCCTGGTAATTCATTACATATGGTATGGTGAGGTCCCTGGTAATTCATTACATATGTATGGTGAGGTCCCTGGTAATTCATTACATATCGTATGGTGAGGTCCCTGGTAATTCATTACATATCGTATGGTGAGGTCCCTGGTAATTCATTACATATGGTATGGTGAGGTCCCTGGTAATTCATTACATATGGTATGGTGAGGTCCCTGGTAATTCATTACATATCGTATGGTGAGGTCCCTGGTAATTCATTACATATGGTATGGTGAGGTCCCTGGTAATTCAGTACATATCGTATGGTGAGGTCCCTGGTAATTCAGTACATATGGTATGGTGAGGTCCCTGGTAATTCAGTACATATGGTATGGTGAGGTCCCTGGTAATTCAGTACATATCGTATGGTGAGGTCCCTGGTAATTCATTACATATCGTATGGTGAGGTCCCTGGTAATTCATTACATATCGTATGGTGAGGTCCCTGGTAATTCATTACATATCGTATGGTGAGGTCCCTGGTAATTCATTACATATCGTATGGTGAGGTCCCTGGTAATTCATTACATATCGTATGGTGAGGTCCCTGGTAATTCAGTACATATCGTATGGTGAGGTCCCTGGTAATTCAGTACATATCGTATGGTGAGGTCCCTGGTAATTCAGTACATATCGTATGGTGAGGTCCCTGGTAATTCAGTACATATCGTATGGTGAGGTCCCTGGTAATTCAGTACATATGGTATGGTGAGGTCCCTGGTAATTCAGTACATATGGTATGGTGAGGTCCCTGGTAATTCATTACATATGGTATGGTGAGGTCCCTGGTAATTCAGTACATATCGTATGGTGAGGTCCCTGGTAATTCATTACATATCGTATGGTGAGGTCTCTGGTAATTCATTACATATGGTATGGTGAGGTCCCTGGTAATTCATTACATATGGTATGGTGAGGTCCCTGGTAATTCAGTACATATGGTATGGTGAGGTCCCTGGTAATTCAGTACATATGGTATGGTGAGGTCCCTGGTAATTCATTACATATCGTATGGTGAGGTCCTTGGTAATTCATTACATATCGTATGGTGAGGTCCCTGGTAATTCATTACATATGGTATGGTGAGGTCCCTGGTAATTCAGTACATATGGTATGGTGAGGTCCCTGGTAATTCAGTACATATGGTATGGTGAGGTCCCTGGTAATTCAGTACATATGGTATGGTGAGGTCCCTGGTAATTCATTACATATCGTATGGTGAGGTCCCTGGTAATTCAGTACATATGGTATGGTGAGGTCCCTGGTAATTCAGTACATATGGTATGGTGAGGTCCCTGGTAATTCAGTACATATGGTATGGTGAGGTCCCTGGTAATTCATTACATATGGTATGGTGAGGTCCCTGGTAATTCAATACATATCGTATGGTGAGGTCCCTGGTAATTCAATACATATCGTATGGTGAGGTCCCTGGTAATTCAATACATATCGTATGGTGAGGTCCCTGGTAATTCATTACATATCGTATGGTGAGGTCCCTGGTAATTCATTACATATCGTATGGTGAGGTCCCTGGTAATTCAGTACATATGGTATGGTGAGGTCCCTGGTAATTCATTACATATCGTATGGTGAGGTCCCTGGTAATTCATTACATATCGTATGGTGAGGTCCCTGGTAATTCAGTACATATCGTATGGTGAGGTCCCTGGTAATTCAGTACATATCGTATGGTGAGGTCCCTGGTAATTCAGTACATATCGTATGGTGAGGTCCCTGGTAATTCAGTACATATCGTATGGTGAGGTCCCTGGTAATTCAGTACATATGGTATGGTGAGGTCCCTGGTAATTCATTACATATCGTATGGTGAGGTCCCTGGTAATTCATTACATATCGTATGGTGAGGTCCCTGGTAATTCATTACATATCGTATGGTGAGGTCCCTGGTAATTCATTACATATCGTATGGTGAGGTCCCTGGTAATTCATTACATATGGTATGGTGAGGTCCCTGGTAATTCATTACATATGGTATGGTGAGGTCCTTGGTAATTAAGTACATATCGTATGGTGAGGTCCCTGGTAATTCAGTACATATCGTATGGTGAGGTCCCTGGTAATTCATTACATATTGTATGGTGAGGTCCCTGGTAATTCATTACATATGGTATGGTGAGGTCCTTGGTAATTCAGTACATATCGTATGGTGAGGTCCCTGGTAATTCATTACATATCGTATGGTGAGGTCTCTGGTAATTCATTACATATGGTATGGTGAGGTCCCTGGTAATTCATTACATATGGTATGGTGAGGTCCCTGGTAATTCATTACATATGGTATGGTGAGGTCCCTGGTAATTCAGTACATATGGTATGGTGAGGTCCCTGGTAATTCATTACATATCGTATGGTGAGGTCCTTGGTAATTCATTACATATCGTATGGTGAGGTCCCTGGTAATTCATTACATATCGTATGGTGAGGTCCCTGGTAATTCATTACATATCGTATGGTGAGGTCCCTGGTAATTCATTACATATGGTATGGTGAGGTCCCTGGTAATTCAGTACATATGGTATGGTGAGGTCCTTGGTAATTCATTATATATCGTATGGTGAGGTCCCTGGTAATTCATTACATATCGTATGGTGAGGTCCCTGGTAATTCATTACATATCGTATGGTGAGGTCCCTGGTAATTCAGTACATATCGTATGGTGAGGTCCCTGGTAATTCAGTACATATCGTATGGTGAGGTCCCTGGTAATTCATTACATATGGTATGGTGAGGTCCCTGGTAATTCAGTACATATCGTATGGTGAGGTCCCTGGTAATTCATTACATATGGTATGGTGAGGTCCCTGGTAATTCATTGTTGTTTGTGTTTTTATTGAAGAGATGGAGAGAGAATGCGTCTACGATGATGAGACTACAGTTTAGTGGGATTTAAATGACTGTGTCCTTCACCACTGGACCAGCCAGACAACGGTTTAATGGGTTTTAAATGACTTCATGTGAGTGTCATTAGATATGATGGGGGGGTTAATGGAATGGCCACACACCCCTTGTCAGCAGAGCACAGGGAGCATGGCTCTTCCATTAGATGGTCTTAATCACATCACCCACCTGGTTGTGTTGCAGGGTACATGTGTAGTTCTGCCATTAGATGGTCTTAATCACATCACCCACCTGGTTGTGTTGCAGGGTACATGTGTAGTTCTGCCATTTAGATGGTCTTAATCACATCACCCACCTCGTTGTGTTGCAGGGTACATGTGTAGTTCTGCTGTGCTGGATAAAGACGGGGTCAGTGCAGCAGCCATCGCAGGGGAGATGACATCATACCTGGCCACTAAGAACACCACGCTGTCACAACAACTCACTGCTATCTACGAGGAGTGAGACACACACACACACACACACACCTCACACACACACACACACACACACACACACACCTCAAGCAGACACCTAACACACACACACACCTCACGCAGACATTTATTTGACCGTTATGTTAGATATGTATGTATAGAAAATAAAGAAGTGATTTTCCAGATGTCCAAAGTGCTTTACATAGTAACTCTCTCTCTCTCTCTCTCTCTCTCTCTCTCTCTCTCTCTCTCTCTCTCTCTCTCATAATAATAATAATAATATGCCATTTAGCAGACGCTTTTATCCAAAGCGACTTACAGTCATGTGTGCATACATTTTTACGTATGTTATCTCCACCCTCCTCTCCTCCAGGTATGGGTACCACATCTCTAAGAACTCCTACTTCATCTGTCACGACCAGGAAGTGATCCGGGCCATGTTTGACCGGCTGCGTCACTACGGTAACCAGGACCAGGAGGCTGTGTCGTACCCCAGACAGTGTGGAGGCGTCCCCATCACCGCTGTACGGGACCTCACTACTGGATACGACAGCAACCAGACAGACAACAAGGCTGTAAGGAGATCAACACTGTGTTATCTACACGCTGTCTCTCTCGCTCGCTCTCCCCCCCCCAGGTTCTCCCCACCTCCACCAGTAGTCAGATGATCTCCTTTAATCTCCCCCCCCCCCAGGTTCTCCCCACCTCCACCAGTAGTCAGATGATCTCCTGTAATCTCTCCCCCCCAGGTTCTCCCCACCTCCACCAGTAGTCAGATGATCTCCTTTAATCTCCCCCCCCCCAGGTTCTCCCCACCTCCACCAGTAGTCAGATGATCTCCTGTAATCTCTCCCCCCCAGGTTCTCCCCACCTCCACCAGTAGTCAGATGATCTCCTTTAATCTCCCCCCCCCAGGTTCTCCCCACCTCCACCAGTAGTCAGATGATCTCCTTTAATCTCCCCCCCAGGTTCTCCCCACCTCCACCAGTAGTCAGATGATCTCCTTTAATCTCCCCCCAGGTTCTCCCCACCTCCACCAGTAGTCAGATGATCTCCTGTAATCTCTCCCCCCCAGGTTCTCCCCACCTCCACCAGTAGTCAGATGATCTCCTTTAATCTCCCCCCCCAGGTTCTCCCCACCTCCACCAGTAGTCAGATGATCTCCTTTAATCTCCCCCCCCAGGTTCTCCCCACCTCCACCAGTAGTCAGATGATCTCCTTTAATCTCCCCCCCCAGGTTCTCCCCACCTCCACCAGTAGTCAGATGATCTCCTTTAATCTCTCCCCCCAGGTTCTCCCCACCTCCACCAGTAGTCAGATGATCTCCTTTAATCTCCCCCCCCCAGGTTCTCCCCACCTCCACCAGTAGTCAGATGATCTCCTTTAATCTCTCCCCCCCCAGGTTCTCCCCACCTCCACCAGTAGTCAGATGATCTCCTTTAATCTCCCCCCCAGGTTCTCCCCACCTCCACCAGTAGTCAGATGATCTCCTTTAATCTCTCTCCCCCCCCAGGTTCTCCCCACCTCCACCAGTAGTCAGATGATCTCCTGTAATCTCCCCCCCCAGGTTCTCCCCACCTCCACCAGTAACCAGATGATCTCCTTTAATCTCTCCCCCCCCAGGTTCTCCCCACCTCCACCAGTAGTCAGATGATCTCCTTTACCTTCTCTAACGGGGGCGTGGCCACCATGAGGACCAGTGGAACAGAACCCAAGATCAAGTACTACACTGAGCTGTGTGCTGCCCCCGGCAACAGGTATAAAACACACTCTGACAGACACACACACACTATTTACACTAAGACACACACACACACACACACACACACACACACACACACACTGTATACTACACTGAGCTGTGTTCTGCCCCCGGGAACAGGTACACACACTGCAAACACACACACACACACAATACGTACACATCCTCTATACACAGCCACACTTCACACACACACTCATAGCAGTGCTGTAGCAGATGTCAAACTTTTAATTAGTCTTTCCCTCCCTCCCTCCCCTCCCTCCCTCCCTCCCTCCCTCCAATCTCTCTCTCCTTTCTGTCTTTCCTCCTCCTCCTCCTCTCTGTCCCAGTGATGTTAAAGGTTTGCAGAAGGAGTTAGATGATCTGGTTGATGCCATCATAGAGGACTTCTTCCAGCCCATGAAGAATAACCTGCTGCCCAAGCCGGAGTAGCACCACACACAGCAGTGACTTGCAAACCAATAAAGACCAGCACTGGTTTACATTCCTGATCAAGATTCCCTTTCACTAATTCTTCTTCCAGGACACACACGTTCTAGAACACACACACACATTCCAGGACACACACATTCTAGAACACACACACATTCCAGGACACACACACGTTCCAGGACACACACATTCTAGAACACACACACATTCCAGGACACACACATTCTAGAACACACACACATTCCAGGACACACACACGTTCCAGGACACACACATTCTAGAACACACACACATTCCAGGACACACACACGTTCCAGGACACACACATTCTAGAACACACACACACACGTTCCAGGACACACACACATTCCAGGACACACACACATTCCAGGACACACACACATTCTAGAACACACACATTCTAGAACACACACATTCCAGGACACACACGTTCTAGAAGTCTTAAAACCGTTGTATCTGGAGCTATACGTCTTAACTGCTAGCTGGAGTGCTGTGTATCTGGAGTGCTGTGTATCTGGAGTGCTGTGTATCTGGAGTGCTGTGTATCTGGAGTGCTGTGTATCTGGAGTGCTGTGTATCTGGAGTGCTGTGTATCTGGAGTGCTGTGTATCTGGAGTGCTGTGTATCTGGAGTGCTGTGTATCTGGAGTGCTGTGTATTTGGAGTGCTGTGTATCTGGAGTGCTGTGTATTTGGAGTGCTGTGTATCTGGAGTGCTGTGTATCTGGAGTGCTGTGTATTTGACTTAACACACAGGATTAATAACCGTAGTTCAGGGCTCTCCAACCCTGTTCCTGGAGAGATACCCTCCTGTAGGTTTTCATTCCAACCCTGTTCCTGGAGAGATACCCTCCTGTAGGTTTTAACTCCAACCCTGTTCCTGGAGAGATGCCCTCCTGTAGGTTTTCATTCCAACCCTGTTCCTGGAGAGCTACCCTCCTGTAGGTTTTAACTCCAACCCTGTTCCTGGAGAGAGACCCTCCTGTAGGTTTTACCTCCAACCCTGTTCCTGGAGAGCTACCCTCCTGTAGGTTTTAACTCCAACCCTGTTCCTGGAGAGATACCCTCCTGTAGGTTTTAACTCCAACCCTGATCCTGGAGAGATACCCTCCTGTAGGTTTTCATTCCAACCCTGATCCTGGAGATACTGTTACTACTACTACTATTTCTACTATTTCTACTATTACTACTACTACTACTACTACTACTACTACTACTACTACTACTACTACTACTACTACTACTACTACTACTACTACTACTACTACTACCACTACTACTACTATTACTGATACTACTTCTACTACTACTACTATTACTACTACTACAGCCACCACCACCACCCCTCAATAAGCAGCCTCCTCTGTAACCATTGCGGCATAATGTTTCAAGAACAACAAAGATGTGATTTGAAAGAAAAACCTGTGAAGATAATTTAATTTGTAATATGCACCAATATGTTGACTGCAATCTTCCTAGAGTATAGATATTTAAAATGTGTAATATGAAAAAACGGAATGTGATGTGTAAATTTAAAACTTATAATGAGAGATGAGATTTTAATTATGTCATTCCTGTGTAAATTCCAAGGCTGTGTCCATATTTCTGTCAGATTACGGGTGCGTTCCATATTTCTGTCAGATTACGGGTGCGTTCCAGGTCGATTACTAGTGCTGAGCGATTAGTACTTTTTGAGGTTTGTTCGATTTATAAAAAGAATAATCAAAATTTTTGATTTTCTGTTTTCAATTAAATTTGGACATTAAATGCACAATGCATTGTATGGGTTGAATGATGTAACACAGAATAAAACAATTAATACAAGTCCCGTGATGGTAGTGACTCCTCATTTACTGCTTATCACTTATTAACCATCAGTTATTCACATTACTTTAATAAAATACTTTATTTGTTGTGTATATGAGTGCCTTCAGAAAGTATTCACACCCCTAGACTTTTTCCACATTTTGTTGTGTTACAAAGTGGAATTAAAATGGACGTAATTGTAATTTTTTTTGGTCGACAATCTACACAAAATACTCTCTGTGGTAGAAAATATTACAATTTTAATGAAAAATAAAACCTCTTGATTAGATAAGTATTCAACCCACTGAGTCAGTACATGTTAGAAACACCTTGGCAGCCATTACAGCTGGGAGTCTTTTTGGGTAAGTCTCTAAGAGCTTTGCACACCTGAATTGTACAATATTTTCCCATTCTTTTTTTAAATTCTTCAAGCTGGTTGTTGAACATTCAAAACTGTAACTAGGCCATTCATGAACATTCAACGTCGTCTTGGTAAGCAACTCCAGTGTAGATTTGGCCTTGTGTTTTAGGTTATTGTCCTGCTGAAAGGTGAATTAGTCTCCCAGTGTCTGTTGGAAAGCAGACAACCAGGTTTTCCTCTAGGATTTTACCTGTGCTTAGCTACATTCCTTTTCTTTTTATCCTGAAAAACTTGCTTGCCGATGACGAGCATACCCATAACATGATGCAGCCACCACCATGCTTGAAAATATGAAGTGGTACTCAGTGATGTTGTGTTGGATTTGCCCCAAACAGAACGCTTTGTATTCAGGACAAACAGTTCATTTCTTTGCCACATTTTTTGCATTATTACTTAAGTGCCTTGATGCAAACAGGATGCATGTTTTTGGAATATTTTTTATTCTGTACAGGCTTCCTTCTTTTCACTGTCATTTAGGTTAGTATTGTGGAGTAACTACAATGTTGATCCATCCTCAGTTTTCTCTTATCACAGCCATTAAACTCTGGTGATTTTAAAACAGTTACATTGACCTCATGGTGAAATCCCTGAGCAGTTTCCTTCCTCTCTGGCAACTGAGTTAGGAAGGACGCCTGTATCTTTGTAGTGACTGGGTGTATTTATACACCATCCAACGTGTAATTAATAACTTCACCATGCTCAAAGGGATATTCAATGTCAGCTTTTTTAAATTTTACCCATCTTCCAATCGGTGTCCTTCTTTGCGAGGAATTGAAAAACCTTCCTGGTCTTTGTAGTTGTTTCCAACTCTCCTTTGTCCAGTGTTTATGTTCCTTAGCCCACTGCAACCGCAGTTTCTTGTTTTTTGCTGAAAGAAGTGGAACTTTGTAAGGTTGTTGGCTGCCATACCCCATTCGTGTCAAGGTACGACGAGTTGTGCGTTATTTTATGGGTCTTTGGGCACCAGTGTTGCACTGGAATGTCAGTCGACTAACTGCAGCCTGTCTGTTGCTCTGCACTATTCGTGTCAGCCTCCTTTGTCATGTTTCATCAATTACTATTTTTCGACCACTGGCCTGCCCCTTGGGTGGAGGACCATTCTTGATACACACGGATAACTGCTGAGCATGGAAAAACCCGGCAGCGTTGCAGTTCTTGACACAAACCGGTGCACCTGGCACCTTTTAACTAGTCTCCTCCCCTTCATCTACAAGGAGTGTTGGTCAGAGACAGGGTCATTGGCTGAATATCCCTACTCCCCTAGACAAGTATCAAACATTCCTCTCGAAAAGTGTGTTTTCCCTGTTCTCCTTATGGCAGAATATTAAAATGAGGTGAAAACGAGACCCTATTGCACTTCAAAAGGCACCGACTTGGTGGAACGCCCCATCTAGATGGATATATTTCAGAGGACGTCTTGTTTTGGGTGAGCCTACACCACTCGGTCCCTACATGAGACAGCTATAAAGAAGCCTCTAGCTAACGTGGATGTCCTTTTTCACCTGTTTCCTTTCAATAAACAACAGTTGCTATCACTTCATTTGGTGTGCGCGTGCGTTAGGAAGAGCATGGCAACGTCAGGGTTGTGGGTTCGAATCCCACGGGGGGACCAATTTGAAAATGTATGCATTCACTTAACTGTAAGTCGTCTCTGGATAAGAGCGTCTGCTAAATGAAGAGAGAGAAAGATCAAGAATATGATAACTTTTTAGCCTACTCTGTAATTGTTTAGAGATACGAGCGAGAAAAATACACGGGGGGAGAAAGACCGAGAGAGGGAAAGAGGCGGCGGTCTTCCTGCGTTCTATTTATACCTCCCTGTCAGGGGAGCGACAGACCTAACAAACTGACAGAACAGCGCCGTGTGTGACCGTCCCCCAAGCCTCGACTGAGTTTGAGGACACACACTCCCCACAACGCCGCATCGGGCCCCGCAAGTAACCTACAAGTGCTGCGTCCCGAAAAAGGTGAGACGGCTCCGGGAAGGTGTCGGTCCGTTTTTAAAGGGATCATTTGTGGAAGTCTGGAAGATGTTGAAATAAGGACTTCTTCATCCGATATGATCTTTATTTTACTGACGTCGGAACTGAACTTGCGACAGGGGTGCGTCAAAGTATATTGATAGGCGTGTTGATTGGTTTTGCCTCTATTTCTCCTGTAGCCTTCCGCTTGCGTTTATTGATGTATCTTTGTATACAGTTTGAAAGTCATGTTTATTTGTATTTAATGTGTTTATCTGATCGGTAGGTAGCATAATTTCATAGAGCAATCGGTAGATTCACTTCCTCGTGCTAACATTGCGGTTTGGACATTTGCGCCTCACCTCTCTTTCTCTCCAAACCAAACCATTATTTAGCAGTTTAGAACGCTTATTCCATCCGTCTGATATTTTAAAGCAATGAAACCATTAACTTAATCAGTTGGAACAGTCAGGTGACATTTAGCGAGAGAACTGTTCGGGACTAGACTCCCCCCCCCCCCTCCCTCCTCCGGCAAGGTTGGCTGAAGTTCTAGGCAGTCCCAAATGGCAGCCTATTCCCTATGAGGTCCTGGTCAAAAAATAGTGCACTAGATAGGGAGTAGGGTGCCATTTGCGACGTAAGCCCCTGGTGTTGTTCTAGAACAAGGTTAAACTTGAGGGAGACCTCCACAAGGAGTCCGAATGTGACCTTGTTTCCATTGCGCAGCTGAGCAAGACACACACACACACACACACACACACTGCTTTGTGCATGATTGGTTATTTGGCTTTAT